TATCCAACAAATGCACATTGATAGATATAAGTTTCAGCTTACTCACATTTCTAGTATGGACAAAGCAAACACATCCAAATACTTTGGGGGGAATAATATAGGAATTTGTACCTTGCAAAACCTCCAGAGTACTTCTAAAATCAAGAATTCACAAAAACATATTATTAATAAGATAGACAGCTAAAAGAACTGCATCTCTCCAATAACTTTTAAGTAGATTCATGGTGAACATTAGTGACCGAAGTATCTCTATATGTGTCTATTTTTTATTTCAGCAACCGCATTTTGTTCACTGGTGTAGGCACAACTTGTTTGATAAATTATCCCATTAGACTACAAATAGGTACGGAATCCACCATTCGTATATTCTATACCGTTGTCTATTCTTAAAATTTTAATTTGAGTATCAAACTGTATATATACCATTTTATGAAATAACTGAAAGCATAGGAATATATTACTTTTGGTTTTCAACAGATAAATTCATGTTAATTTAGTACAGTAGTTAATGAAAGTAACAAACTATCTATGCCCAGATAAAAATGTATTTTGAATAGATTTCCAAACATCAGAATGAATGGTCATAAAAGGGGTAGGACTTCTATGGTTACTCACATGATATAAATTCCTTTTGTATTTAGATAGCTCACATGCATCACAAAATAAGGAATCTGTAGAAGTTTTTTTAAACAATATGAGATATAATTTTTCTAGAGTAAAGAAAGAAGAATGTCCTAACTGTCGATGCAACTATATGATTTTCTTATTAATATCTGTATCTCCGAAGGTAGCTTGATTCCCAATAACGTCTCGACTTCTATTCAAGACATATAAGTCATCATGTAGTCTATGAGTGTCAATCGTCTTTCTTGTTTGAAAATCTTGAAGGACAAAATGATTAGAAAAAACTCACTTTTATTGTCAAAATCTCTAGTAAAGGCACTAATGGATAAGAGACTGTTAGAAAAAATAGGCACATGAGGAATTGAAGTCAGTGGAATGGTCGGAGTACAATTAATGGAACCTGTTCCTGATACAAGAATGTATGATCCATAAGCGAGACGGACATTTTTTTGTTGAGTACATAGAAAATAGATCAGAAAATCTTTAGAAGAGTCTGTTATGTGTCTGTTAACTTCAAAGTGTATAATCCAAGTATCATAATTGGAAATAATAGGAAGAGTAGCAGTACTTACCATTTTTGACGTACCGATAGAAAAAAACAATACTCAATTGCTAATTTCACCGTAATAGAAAAAAATTAGAAGGATGCCAAAAAATGGTCCAACACTAATGGAGATGAAAAAATGCTGCGAGACCGAAGGAGATCACCAAAGACAAGTCTGTTCGCTGAGATAGGAGAACTAGAACTGGATCCGAGAGAGACAAGTTTGGAGCCGCAGATAGAGGCAGGCACGCACCACGGGAGACAAAATTGCAACCGGGTTCTGGCCAAAAAACGAGCAAACCCGCTGGTGCTCGGCCAGACGTGGTCACACGGCTGAAAAAAGACAGATCGCACGCGGCCACGTGAAGAGGATCTGTTGTTGTGAGGGATCGCGCGGCTTGAACCTGATCAGTCTGTCCTGCGCGCAAAATGCAATGCACGAAATCGGAAGGTTGTGTTGATCTTCTGGTGTGCGAAATCAAATATAAGAAATGTCAGGATTAGTAGTATTAGCTGGCGGAACAAAAGACATCGCGAATCAGACGGGCATGTGCAAAGGAGCAGCCCAAATCGACCGTGCGCGAACAAAAAATCGAGAAGAGTGGGTGCGGCCAGAAAAGAGAAACCCAAACAGAGGCTATGCGTGAGGGAGCCACGCGAACAACGAGTTGTGACCGGAGCAGAGGGATCAGGTAAGGCAGAGTAGGTCATTGGAATAGGGTGCTGTCGGCGAAGTGAAGACTCTGTTGGGTGGTGAGAAGATTCTAGGGTTTGAAAAAAACTCTGAAGTAAAACCCTAAAGATACCCTTATTTTTGCTCTGATTCCATGTAGAAATTTAGAGAAAAAATATTTACTTTATTTTTATTATATTTTTAGTGTTACAAATGATTTATGTATATACAAGAATTTTTAAATATAAATAAGAAAGTTTCTTTTATAAGAGAGATTCTAAATGATTACAAGAAATTAATAGTAAAAATTATATAGAAAAAAATATTATAATTATTTAGACAACAAAATATTCATGTCAATAGTTATAAAATATGATTAAGACCTGCCAATCCCGAGTGGGGAATGAATTGATTGCTGTCCCAAAATCTTTGACTCAATTGAGCCAGTGCGCTTATTGGAAGTTGAAAATGTTAGTTCTTGCAGTAGATACTCGAACCCAAGCAGCAGGGTATTGTATTATTAAATTGCATTCTGTTCTCTTTATATTCTAGATATAAATTTTGAGAGAGAGATACAGAAAAGAGCCCAAAAGGAAGTGATATCAGGTGAAACGAATGAGAACTATAAATGTTAAGAATGCTGTGACAATGAGAATACCATCAAGAGTTATTATTGACATAAAGAAATTGAAAATACTACAAAATACTTTTCATTTATCCCCAAATAAATAAATAAAATAAAGAGATCTTGATAATAGCACAAGGTAACAGTTAAAAACATTTTTTTGTTTTCTTATCTCCAGATGTTGGTTTATTGCTTTATATTCAACCGATTTGATTTGTTCAACAGGCAATGAGGTCAACTCAGGGTTCATTGAAGCCTATATTTGTTTCAGTTGGCCACAGAGTGTCAATTTATACTGCTGTCGTGATTGTTAAAATGACTTGCAAACACCGTGTGCCAGAGCCTATACGGCAGGTAACTACGGTACCTATCAGTGCTCGGTTAGGATATTTATGATTAATTGTCAGAAGTGTGCATTTTGTCGCCCCTTTTAACGTTTTTGATTTGTAAGCTTGAAAAAGTACAAACTATTGTAACTGTTACTAGTGAAAATGGTAATTAATTTCAGGCATTACTTCTATCTCAAATGCAGGCTGATATAAGATCAAGAGACTATCTCCAAAAGCATCAAATGAGTGTGCTAGGGGGATGGGACTGCTCAGAGGTTATCTTTTTCTTTTCTCTCTTTTGATTTATGTTTTCCTGTTTAGTTCAAAGAAACTGCCAAATGATTACACTATTGGAATATTGCCAGCTACATTCAAATAGGTGTTAAACAGGTCTGTTTAGTTCGAAGATGCTGTAATATTCACACCGGTGCTGGATAAGTGATAAAAAGTATCATCTTTTTAAGAAGTATTATTTTGAGAGAAAGAATCAAGAGAAATAATTGATTCTTGATATTGAGGATTTGGAAAATCTTATAGATATTTTGGTTCCTGATGTTTCATAAATCCTTTGAATATGGGGCCCCCCACCCCTTCTTGCCCGTTAATGCTGCATTCTCTTTTATCTCAAAAGACAGTGCTGTCATTTAAAGAAAAATGGTAGATGTAGTATTTGCATACTGCAAATAAGCACACATGAAATCTTTATATACCGGGGATTTTTAGGTCTCAAAATACATAAGACAAGACATGGAAGTCCCCGCATAGGAAGAACTCTTCAGGTCTTCCTATGTATATGTTCTGTATGTGTAATTATAAATAGCCTATATGCATGTGCATCTACACAAGTATGTATAAGCAAATTTCTTGAATTAAATAGTACTGAGATAAGTGCATTTACATTTAGTTTTTGAAAGCAAAAGAGAAATGTATTTAAAGAGGCATTGAGGAGATGTCATCCATGTAGAAGACATCTACAATGGATCTGTGGCTTTTTTTTTTAGTAGGGGGAGGGGGGTGGGGGTGTTGAAGCTGTAGTAAATTCTTTTAACACTGAAATAGCATCTTATGAGGATCGCACTCTCTCTCTTTCCCTGGGAACCAAAGAGCAGGAAGAGAAGTGAAAAAAGTTATTGTCATGTGCTCTTGGCCTGCGTTGCAGACAATTGATTGCTGATTTTTTTCAGGCTTAAACTATTCTGTGTTTGGTTGGATCAGCAGTACTGATTGTAAACCTGTCTCCTGGAATCCCACCAGTGAATCAGAAACTCTGATTTCTTGCACCCGCTGACAATGGAGAGGTAAAGACAGCAACAAGATTAGATCAGTTAGGTCTTGGAGATCATGGCCAAGAACTATGCCATTTCATCAAGGTCCCCAACGAGACGGAACAGTAGCAGATTATGCCCCTTGCACGCTTTGAAGTCTCACCATTTTTATGATCTCAGGTTTGGCATATGTAATTCTTTCTGCCCTCACTGGGGCTCAGAGTTAGCTCTCAGGTGAGATTAGTCAGTCATAAACACATAAATGTTTTAAAACAGGTAGTAGCAGTGATCTCCATTCCTTTTGTATCTGTGCAATTAAATAGTAATTATCTACTGCTGAGGAAAATCTTGCTGGGATGTGCTAGAGTTAATTCAAGTGTAAGTTCATCCTTTCAACTGATTTTATGAAATTGGTGGATAATATATTTTACTTTTGGTTCAGTTCTTATTATATTAGTAAAGAATTTATAATTATTATTGTGTACATTACATAGTATATGTTCTATTATAAGATTCTTAATAGTTAGTAGTAAATTATTATAAAATAATTTTTTTAAATTTATAAGATATTTTTATTTATTTCTATAGAAATATGTAATATGCATTTATGACCGGCAATACTACTGATATTATATACTATTATATTTAATTTGAAGATTTTTAGTAATCACAAAAATAAATTTAATTTTTGTATCATTAATTATTATTTGAATGTATATATGGGGTAGAAAACTTCTTCCGAATATATATATATTTTAATGCAAAAGATTTAATATCCAAAAATATGAAAATTATTTAAATGTCTTTATATAATCTACCTTTAGTTCTTTTGTTAATAATATATGTATATATATATATATATATACATGCAAATCATATATGTTATTACATTGGACACTAATATTTTTTATTTATTATATCAAGTATTTCTTGTTTTTTTTAATTTATGAAAATAACACATTCATTTTATGACTAGTTACGAAGCATAATTAAGGAATAGTATATATTTAATCTCTTCTTATATAATATGAATCGTATTAAACAAACACATGATGTGTTTTAATAAAACTACACGACATGTATTTTATAACACAATAAGTAGAAAAACTATATTTTAATTCTTTATAAACACAAGTCCATGAAATTAAATCATATGTTTTGTGCACATATCATTGAAGGAGACAATTCCTATATATAATTATGACAAATTGACAGTTGCTTGAAAATTAGGAAAGGAAAAGAAAAGAAATATATGGTATTTTTTTTTTTTTTTTACAATTTTATAAAATAATCAACCACTACTTAATTAAAAATTCTTCTGGTACATTATTTTTTCTACAAAGGTTCTAAGTAGTTGTCTTAATACTCTTATATATTTATAAATCTTTTATTTTTGATATAATTATTTCACGTGTATTTGCCTAATCATTAATAAAATTAGTATCCAGATTGCTTAAAGTTGGATGCATTTATCAGCCATGCAGACAGGATTTTCAAAATCGAAATTGCATACTGACATCTAAAAAAAATGAATATATCAACACAGACTTACATAAATATACACGCATATACATATACAACCATCAAAACACCAATAATGTTTGTTGAAGAAGCAAACCCAGCATTCCTCACATCTCCATCACTACTTCCTTGCTTATTATCATTATGTGGTACTTGTATCATCACTTGAAATCTACAGTCTCCCACTGAAGGATCTTTATCAGTCACAACAGAAAGATTTCCAAATTTGCATGCACTTTCGAGCTGATCATTTTTCTGATAATAACTGTTAAATGCATAAGATATATTCCCTCTAGCATCCAGATTTGAACATGAACTCCCAAATCCAAGACTCGTACAATCACCATTTGCACAAGCATAGCTCACGCTGCCTGCAACTTCTGGGTCATCAAGACTCGCCATTGATGACATTATACACCATTGTTGACTCAGATATTTCACATCTTTAGCTCCCACCAATGAGTTTCCAGATGTTCCTCCGAGACTGAGTTGATATTTAGGTTTACCATCAAAGTAAAATAATCCCCAATGACGTTCAAAATTACCCCCCTGAATGATTTTATCATCTTCATCTATGAGACTAAACAAGTAAGCATCAACTGGGTTTAATCTCATTGGAGTGCCCTTCCCAGCTGCAACACGAGAGATAAACCCCTGATTGAATCTCTGAGCGAATTTCAAGTTAGCATTCTTGTCTCCATCAGTCGGCCATCCAATTTCTCCGACGATGATCGACATGTTTCCAAACCCGTTCTTCTGTAAAGCCCAAATGAAGGTATCATAATTTGCATCAAAAACATTGTCGTAGATTCTTCCACCGTCGTTAATGGGTGTGGATCCGCCGTTAAAGAAGGCAAAATCAACTGGGAAATTTGGATCGTTGTAGAGACTTATGAAGGGATAAATATTGACGGTCAACGGAGCTCCATTGTCGTTTAAGAATCTTATAATATCTAGCACTGTATCGCGTATGTTTGACCGGAAATCCCCATCGGAAGGAAGATTTGTTGGACTCTGATATACATCTGCGTTTAAAGGGACGGTGAGTTTAATCTGAGAACCTAAACCCGCTTTGTTAAGCGCTGTTTGGATGTTTTGAAGAGCAGGGAAAGTTAAACCAACATAGCTTCCATTATAGAATGAAAGGAATGGTTCATTTCCCACTGCAACATACCTTCACAAAATCACAACAAGATAATTAATGGGTATATCTCAAAATGATGAACAGCAGAAGCTATATACACATATATATATTTTGCTTAACCTGATGTCGACGCCATTGGAGGAGATATGAGAAGAGATATTCTTGGAAACCCAGTTCTCAGCCGCTTGGAGACTATTAGCCATAACAGAGAGCATATCATTGGGTATACCCACCATGACTTGAATACCAGAGTTGCTGAGAGCATTCAAGATTGATGAATCTGCATCGAAGAGTTTAACTTTCTGGAAGCCATTGTCTCTGAGCATCTTCACCACAGTTGATGGTGGAAGCGGGTGAGTTGACAAGGTCCCCCAATTCACTCCGATTCCACTCCCCCAACTCACCAACACACTCCACACCAACCAACCAACAACCACCTTCTTCTTCCACCGCATCATCTCTCATATGATGATCGATCAACAGGCTTTTCCTTTTTCTTAATTTTTGAAGAAAAATAGAAAAAGAAAAAAAGCTTGAGAGCAGAGTGAAGGTAAGAAACAGGGGGAGAATAAATTAGATAATCAGTGTTAAATAGCAGAAAACAGAGTGATTTAGAGAAATTAAAAGTGAAAGAAAAACCATTCCGATTAAATTATGGAGACTGGAAGGTCAAAAGCTGAATCTGCCGCTACATGCTGTACCATTATTTAGAAAAATTATTAGATGAAGAAGAAAGGTAGGGGCTTTCTAATAATTAATGCAAGAACTGGCTTGTTGAAAAAGCTCAGCCTATTTTATTTATCTTTCTTTAATGATTTACATAATTATAAAATAATAGTGGTAAGGGAAATCTCTAATTAGACAGAGAGGGATGGACATTTGAGTTTTGTTTGAAGAGTGGGAAAAAATAACATTGACAAAAAATAAGAAGAGGAAACAAGAAATGGAAATGGAAGACGGGAGCGCTGCTGTTTTATTTTCCTTTTTTCTCTATTTAGGATGGAGCAGGTATAGGACGGTTTGGCAAGCTAGCTGCTAGTTATTTCTGACTTCTTCCCCCCCCACTACTTTCCTATTTTGGAATATTTTTCTAATTTTCACAAGGATCAAAAACATACTATTCCTTTGGGAAATGGTTAAATTACAAGCTTAGGGAGCTAGTGTGGATTTGAAGGGTGATTAGGTTTTAGTTTTATAAAGTAATCAAAAAGAAAAACAAAAGATGAGTCTAGGAATGGGGGCCTATTTGGATTCCGACGTTTGGCAATTCCAGCTCATTGGCGTCTCAAATGCTTAATTCCATGATAGCTACATCAAACTGTCCTATCTCCCTATCTCTTTTACATCATATATATATATATATATATATATACACACACACATATTATATATTAATTTAGAAAATTTGTCACATTCTTCCTCCTATCTAAGAAAGTTTACACTTTTTTAATTAATTTTTTTGTTTTTTTTTGTGCAATCCAGTGTGCTTTCAACTTAAAAAAACATAAAGTATAGGTTGAGTTTTTATCTTTTTGTGTTTATTTTAATTAAAAAAATTTAATTTATTGATGTGCTCTAATTATTGAGAATAGTTTATTTATATTCTATAAAATATTTTATATTTAACTTAAAAGATATTTTATGTATATTTTAGAAAGTTTTTTTTTTTAAAAAATTCTCATAATTTCTCTATATAAAAGTGTATGACTCTATTAGTGATGCACTCTCATTTGTTCACAATAAAAAAGTTTCTTCTTCATTTTCTCCATGGATATAAGCATATTTGACGAATCACATCAAATTTGGTGTCTTTTTTATTTAAACTCTAATTTGTTGTGATTGTGTGCATAATAATGATTAATTTTTCTAACAAATTATATAAGAATTAGAGATTTAGAGAAAATCTAAAAAAAAAAAATGCAAAAAAATAATTGAACAAAAAGAGACACTGCATCTAAATCTGTGTAAAGCGGCAACGACATATGGAAATAGAAGTTAAAAAGGCAACGCAACCGTATATGAATAGAAACTAAAGAAGTCAGTCTGGATCTCTGTCGATGCACGAAGCCCAGATTGGTGCGTGACATAGCTAGAAAAGGGGCGTGATCAGATCGTGTGGCAAACGATCTGTTCAAATCCATGTGTCTAGTAAAACTATGTAGTCCTTCCCCCCACGAAAAGACAAAGTGCATCCGATGATGAGGTGGATTTTGACACAATCTCATAAGATCCATTTCGGACCAAAGTGCGTTGTAATTTTGCGATGATTTGCGGTTAGTACACAACAATATGTGGGGTTACGATGGTTATACATATTAGTTTCTATTTTAACACAGTGGTGTTTTTTGCTCGCAATGGTATTTTTTTGTGAGTGATTGATTGTTGTTGATAGTAGTGTTTCTCTTTATTTATTTTATGCACAGTCTAGGAATTTGAGATTGCTTCATTCTCCATAAATATTAGGTAAAAAAGTTTGATGGCGGAAAG